ATTTTGCTTTTCCCGCCTTCTCAGCTTTCCGACGCTCCACGACGGCTCAAAGGCCCCCCGCGGACGCCCCAAGAGAGCCCAAGAGGCCTCCAAGAGGGGCTCAAGACGGCTCTGGAGGGCCCCAAGACGGCCCAAAACGCGCTCAAGACGGGCGAAGAGAGCCCCAAGACGGCCCCAAGAGGGCTCCAAGAGGGGAACTGCGAACCGGAAATTCGAGCCTCCCGCCTCCACAGGGCCCCAGGAGGCCCCAAAGGGGCCCCAAGAGGCCCCAGGAAACCCCCAAGAAGCACCCAGGAGACCCAAATGATGCTTCAAGAGGCTCCCAAACAGCCCCGAAGAACCCCCGTGGGAGGACGGGGCGGTCGGGGAGGTCCAAAATAGTCCAGGGCGGCCTCCAGAGGCTCCCAAGACGGCCCAAGCGGGCCCCGAGTCGCCGAAAGACCGCTCCAGGATGCCCAAGATAGGCCCAAGACGGCCCGAGAGGCCCCCAAAGGCACTCCACGACGCTTCAAGACGCCTCTCCACAGCGCTTCAAGAGGCCGAAATCGTCAATTTCACGGAGGTTTTCGAACGATTTTGGCCTTCCAGCCTTTTCGGCTGTCCGACGTTCCAAGACGGCTCAATAGGCCCCCAAGAGCGCCCCAAGACGGCCCAAGAGGGCCCCAAGACGGCCCTAGAGTCGCCCAAGACAGCCCAACAGAGCCGTCTTCAGGCCCTCTTGGAGGCCTCTTGGGCTGTCTTGGGGCGTCCGCGGGGGGCCTGTGAGCCGTCGTGGAGCGTCGCAAAGCTGAAAAGGCGGGAAAGGCAAAATGTGTCCAAAACCTTAGTAAAATTAGCGATTTTGGCCTCTTGGGGCCCTCTGGGGGGGCCTCTTGGAGGCCTCTTGGAGCGTCTTGGGGGCCTCTTTGGCCGTCTTGGGCTTATCTTGGGCATCTTGGGGCCCTCTTGGCGCCCTCTTGGGCCTCTTGGAGCCTGCTGGGCCTGTCGTGGAGCGCTCTTGGGGCACTCTTGGGCCGCCTGGGCTGCTCCCGGGAGGCTCCAGGCCCCCCCCGTCCCGCCATGGGGGGTCGAGGCACCTGTCCTGGGGCCCCCTGCCTCGCCCCTCCCGCTTGCAGAGTGCCCCAGGAGGCCCCAAGTAGCCCCCAAGAGGCCCCAGGAGGCCCCCAAGAGGCACCCAGGAGGTCCAAACGAGGCCTAAAGAGGCCACAAAACAGCCCCGAGGAGGCCCCACAACGGTCCCAAAACGGCTACCGAGAAGCTGCGAAACTGCCTTCACGACGTCCCCGACAGGCCAAGCACGAGATCCAAACCAACACCCATGAGGCCTCTGACCCACCACCCAGGGCACTGTGGCGGGAGCAGTGACAGCACTTGTGCACAGCATGTTCCGGCGGGAGCCTTCCGGAACACGTTGCAGGGGGAGGAGGAAGATCAGGAGGAGAGAGAGCTGGAGTGGAGGAGGAGGAGGGGGACGAGGAGGAGGAAGAAGCCTCCAAGACAGCTCCAAGATAGCCGAAGAAGCTTCCAAGAGGGCCCTGGGCGGCCCACGAGGGTCCCAAGGCGGTGTCTGAGGCGCCCAAGAAGGCCCGAGAGGGCCCCAAGACAGCCCCAAGAAAGGCCCAAGAAGGGAAACACGAACTGAGAATCCGAGCTTTCTACCCCGAGAGGTTCTCGGGAAGTCCCAAGAGGCCCCCCAAGAAGCTCCAAAGAGGGCCGACGAGGTTCCAAGAGATCTCCCAAGGTGGCCCCAAGAGGCACAACTCATTGTTTTACGATTGGGCTTTGACGGGTTTGAATTTTTTCGGCCTTTTGGCATCCCGATGCTCCAAGACGGCCCAAGAGGCTTCCAATACCGCTCCAATATAGAGGAAGAGGCCTCCAAGAGGGCCCCAAGACGGCCCGCGAGGGCCCCGAGACGGTGCTTGAGGTGCCCAAGACGGCCCGAGAGGGCCCCAAGAGCCCCAAGAGAGGCCCAAGACGGGGAACGCGACCCAACAGCAGAGCGTTCCCCCCAAAAGGCCCACATGAGGCCGCAAGAGGACCCCAAAAGCTTCCCGAGGGCCCAAAAGGCCCCCAGGAGACGTCCAAGAGGTTCCAAAATAGCCCAAGAGTGCCCTCGATGCGTCAAAACTGCTTCCAGGAGGCCCCCGGAGGGCTTCCGGATTGCATCAATCTGGCCGCAGACGTGCACGACGCCCGGGCGCCCAGGGCGGCTGCCCCGAGGGGGCATGGGAGTACTGGGTCTCATTTTCCATGTGTTTTTAAAGGGTTTCCGCGTCCTGGGCCGCCGCCTCCGACCCCCCGTGGGAGGACGGGGCGGCCGGGGAGGTCCAAAATAGTTCAGGAGGGCCTCCAGAAGCTCCCAAGACGGCCCAAGCGGGCCCCGAGTCGCCGAAAGACCGCTCCAGGACGCCCAAGATAGGCCCAAGACGGCCCGAGAGGCCCCCCAAGGCACTCCACGACGCTTCAAGACGCCTCTCCACAGCGCTTCAAGAGGCCGAAATCGTTTATTTCACGGATGTTTTCGAACGATTTTGGCCTTCCAGCCTTTTCGGCTGTCCGACGTTCCAAGACGGCTCAATAGGCCCCCAAGAGCGCCCCAAGACGGCCCAAGCGGGCCCCAAGACGGCCCCAGAGTCGCCCAAGACAGCCCAACAGAGTCCCAAGACAGCCCCAAGATGTGCCCAAGAGGGGGACCACGACTCCAACATTCGACCCTCCCGCTTGAAGAGTGCCCCAGGAGGCCCCAAGGAGCCCCCAAGAGGCCCCAGGAGGCCCCCAAGAGGCACCCAGGAGGCCCAAACGAGGCCTAAAGAGGCCACAAAACAGCCCCGAGGAGGCCCCACAACGGTCCCAAAACGGCTACCGAGAAGCTGCGAAACTGCCTTCACGACGTCCCCGACAGGCCAACCACGAGATCCAAACCAACACCCATGAGGCCTCTGACCCACCACCCAGGGCACTGTGGCGGGAGCAGTGACAGCACTTGTGCACAGCATGTTCCGGCGGGAGCCTTCCGGAACACGCTGCAGGGGGAGGAGGAAGATCAGGAGGAGAGAGAGTTGGAGTGGGAGGAGGAGGAGGGGGACGAGGAGGAGGAAGAGGCCTCCAAGACAGCTCCAAGATAGCCGAAGAGGCTTCCAAGAGGGCCCTGGGCGGCCCACGAGGGCCCCAAGGCGGTGCCTGAGGCGCCCAAGAAGGCCCGAGAGGGCCCCAAGACGGCCCCAAGAGAGGCCCAAGAAGGGAAACACGAACTGAGAATCCGAGCTTTCTACCCCGAGAGGTTCTCGGGAAGTCCCAAGAGGCCCCCCAAGAAGCTCCCAAGAGGGCCGACGAGGTTCCAAGAGATCTCCCAAGGTGGCCCCAAGAGGCACAACTCATTGTTTTACGATTGGGTTTTGACGGGTTAGATTTTTTTTGGCCTTTTGGCATCCCGATGCTCCAAGACGGCCCAAGAGGCTTCCAATACCGCTCCAATATAGAGGAAGAGGCCTCCAAGAGGGCCCCAAGACGGCCCGCGAGGGCCCCAAGACGGTGCTTGAGGCGCCCAAGACGGCCCGAGAGGGCCCCAAGAGCCCCAAGAGAGGCCCAAGAAGGGGAACGCGACCCAACAGCAGAGCGTTCCCCCCGAAAGGCCCACATGAGGCCGCAAGAGGACCCCAAAAGCTTCCCGAGGGCCCAAAAGGCCCCTAGGAGACGTCCAAGAGGTTTCAAAATAGCCCAAGAGTGCCCTTGATGCGTCAAAACTGCTTCCAGGAGGCCCCCGGGAGGCTTCCGGATTGCCTCAATCTGGCCGCAGGTGGCCTCAAGTCGGGCCTCCACGCAGCAAGGACGGCCAATGACGGCTTCAGATTACAGAACCGATGCCCCCAAGGGACCCGCAGACGCCCCCCCCAAGAGGCACCCAAGAGGTGCCTCCAACAGCCAGTTGACAAAGCATGCGGAACACCCCAGAAGCTCCTCAGATGCCGTCGCGCGCCTGTGCTTGATAGCGTTGTCCAAGATCGTACAGCGCGAAGCGCGCGCTCCGGTTCTAGTATGTATGTATATAGATATACATATATGTATGTATACTACCCCAGTGCGACCCTACCTACAAGTTGGAACCCATAGGAAAGCAGCATTCGTTGCTATGATATGATATGATAGCATGCTATACTGCGCTATGCTATGATATGCTATGATATGCTGCGCTATGTTATGTTATGCTATGCTGTGTTCAGCTATGCTATGCCATGCTGCGCTGTGCTATGCTAAGCTATGCGATGCTATGCTTTGCTATGCTATGCTACGCTATGCTGCGCTATGCTATGCTATGCTATGCTTAGCTGATGGGACGTAACTGGGGGAACCGCGGGGCGGATGCTGGGGGAACCGCCCGGGGCGATATCCACTGCCCGGCCCCTTTAAGACAGAGGGTAAGAACCCTTCTAGGCAGAGCCTAGGTAGGGAATCGAAAAGATCTCAACTGCTGAGCCCCGAGATGTTTCGGCGCGATGTTCGGGCTGTTGTTTTGCGTTCCGCACCGTAGGCGTCGTAGCGACTTTCCACGGCTTCGTTGCGCAAAAGGTCAGGCGGTAGAAAAACGGATCTTCTAGTCATGGGCGTGCGGTGCGCGGAGATGACGTGCGAAGTTGTGAGGCGTTGAGGTTTATTGTTTTTAACCCCCGTCCATGTCCAAAATGTTTGTGCCCAAGCCCCGCTTCTTTCTTTCGTCACCCGCCCGCTTGCCACCCTCGATGGTTTGGGGTTCATATCAGATCTCGACTGAAAAGCCCCGAAATATCTCGGCGTGATGCTCGGGCCGTTGTTTTGCGTTCCACACCGTAGGCGTAGCAACGACTTTCCCATGGTTTCGTCGCACAGAATGTAAGCCGCCAGAAAAAACGATCCGTTTCGTCACGATATTTCATTCTATCCAACGTACAGTCCGCAGGCACCATGTTGAAAGATCTTTCAATCTTCCAGTATCCCAGCCCAAGATCCCCAGATTGATAGTTCTTTCAATATTTCCATCTTCCAGATTTTTCAAGCCTTCTCAATCACAGCAGGCCCCTGTCCGAAATTATCAACTGATGTGTCACTCAGCTGATGCTGCTGAGTCAGTGTGGATTGCTCTGGTCAGTCAGCTGCGTGCATATCGTATTTCTTGTGTGACAAGTCGGCCATACATTCACTGCACAACAAATCGGTCATCGGCCACTATCGCACTTGACGCGAGATTTTGGCTACCAGGTATCGTGTTCCCGTTGTTTGACATTAAATTGCCATGTGGTACATGTTTGTAACGGACAGTTCGCCAAATTGTCAACACAGTATCCATTGGTGCAGCCATGGGACGACGGACGCGTCGTCCTCTTTGACGGTTTTTTGTTCATGCCGCTTCTTCGCCGCCCCGGGGGGGGGACGCGGCTGAACGAGGTTTGGCCTTGCCAGAACGATCTCTCGCCCTGGCAGCCATCGGAATGTTGTCCCCGCAGCATCCAGTGCCCGTTTTTTTTTCTGGCGCCATCCAGCCCCTCCCCTCCCCTTCGTCACTTCCGTCATTTTCTCTTCTGCATTGCTCTTCTCTGTTCAGGTGGCCTGTTCGGCGAGCGTCCTGGTGAAGGTGAACTGCGACGTACTGCGTAACATTATCGTGCAGGGCGGTGGTCCCATGGTGGTTTGTCTGAGGTGTTGTGCGATATTGTTCGCGCACCACCTGGAAAAGGCTGGGATCAGAATTTCACGCGCCGCTGCGGCTACCGTACCATCGTTTCTTGACGGACAGAGAACGGTACAACATGTTGCCCCAGGGCGGTTAGACAGTTTCTCCAGCCGCCCTGGGACAGGCGTCTCCGATCGCGAAGCACATTTTCCATACCGTTCCTCATTAGTTTTTTATTTTCCCATCCCGCCCCTGAGCCGAGTCGAGTTGGACGCCATTTCGCCTCGGGTCCCCCATTGCGCTGCTGCTGCTACGGTTGTTCGTGCTCGTGTTACGGTTGCTGGGGCGTTGTGCGAGCCCTGCGAGGGGGCCATGGTTCGAGCCTCCGGAGGCCGCCCGGGACGATCCCGGCAGCCCTGGCGAGGCGCAGCTGCTGGAGAGCATCCTGAGGCGGGAAAACCGCCGGGAACCGACGAACACGTCCGAAGACCTCGGACTCGGGGCTGAATTTGACGGCGTCATGCGAGCTTTGCCAGCCCGCGAAGGGAGCGCGCGTGCCGAGCTCGCACCTGAGCGACGTCAGCCTGCCGAGCGAGCACCTGACCGCCATCCCAAGTGGGCCGCGCGCCGCCGCCGAGCCTCCCCCCTCGGAGGGTCGTCGTCGTATTCGTCCAATTCCTCCCTCCCTCTCCCTCCTCTTCTCTCCGATCACTTTCTAAGGGGGCTGTGTTTTCGGGAAAGGGGCTTCTGGGGGGGGGGCTGCCTTGTCTTGTGTCGATTCCACGTTCTCCTGGGCGCAGTCGCCAGGGCAGGTCTTCCGTGCCGTCCGTTTTGTTCGGAGGAGGAGGAGGAGGAGAGTCGGCGGCTGTCAGACCAATTTATGTGGCCGATGCGTGTGGCGCGTAATCAGGTCTCCAGTGCCGCCCCTTTCCGGCCTCCTCTCACCCACCCCTCCCTGGCACCGTCCTGCACCTCTCAGCCGAGATCTGGGGGTTTATACGGTGATGCGGATTTCCGAGTGGTCGCCGCTGCGTCGTGATAGTTCGCCGGCAGAGTCATTCCCACATCGTTTTACAGATTCCCCAGCCTTCTCCTCAGCCTTTCGGCACAAGCTCCACGCTCAATGGAGCCGTTTCGAAGTCTCCCGCGAATCGGCCCTGGTCACATGTGGTTGAGCGTTGTGGCAAGAGTTCTGCCAGGTTGTCGGGCCATGTGTTCCCCTAGCCGTTGTGGACACCCGTCGGAAACATTTGGGGGAGGATGGCGGGGAAGATCAGGAGGAGGAGGGGGAGGACGAACAGGAGGAAGAGGACGAAGAGGAGGAGGAGGAGCAGGAGGCGGAGGAGGAGGAGGAGGAGGAGGAAGAGGAGGAGTAGGAGGAAGAGGAAGAGGAGGAGGAGGAGGAGGAGAAGGAGAAGGAGGGGGAGGAGGAGGAAAAGGAGGAGGAGGAGGAGGAGGAGGAGGAGCAAGTGGGGGAGGAGGAGGAGGAGGAGGAGGAGGAGGAGGAGGAACGGGAGGAGGAGGTGGAGGAAGAGACACATTCTGGGATCTTCCTGGGCCCTCTTGTGGCCTCCTGGGAGCTTTTTGGGATCCTCTTGGAGGCATCTTGGGGGCCTCGGGCCTTGGAGGGTTCTTGAGCCGTCTTGCGGCCCTTCTGAGACCGTCTTGGTGGGCCCATTGGGCCGTCCTGGGGCCATCCTTGACGCTTCTTGGGCGATCATGGGGCGATCTTTGGGTGCTCTGGGCCGTCTCGGGCCGCAAGACTGCCGAAAACAATTGCTAAAATTGACAATCAATGATTTTGGCATCTTCGGGCCTTCCTGGAGGACCTCTTGGGGGCCTCTTGGGCCGTCTTGGAGACCTCTTTGGGAACTTTTGGGCTGTCTTGGGCCATCTTGGAGCCATCTTGGGTTGTCTTGTTGGCTTCTTCGGCGGACTTGGAGGCATCTCGGACCCTCTTGGGCCGTCTGGGAGGCCATCTTGACTGTGAACAAGGTTTAAGGTGGGGTCGTAGAGCGCATGCTATACCCGCCACAGTCCTGGCTCAAGGCTGCGCAGCCCGATTTGCTAGTTGGACGACAGTGTAACTCTATCCGGGTCGTTGTATCAGACAACGGCCACGCTTATCAATGATCCACTTCTGCTTCCCATGGCTTGTCGCTTGTCCCTCATGATGCTTGCCATGATATACCTCGATACGCCGCCGACGCTATCCTAATAGTAGGGCTCTCACCTTCTGACCTCATGGACAAAGTTTCCACCCTTACTTTTCACTTGGTAGTGGATCTGGCTACATCTTTATGTGGTTGGTTCTTACATCATGAGTTTTGTACATCTCAACTTACCGCCGCACCGTGGAATAGCCGACGGCACTGGCTTTCAGCCACTACGCCCCTAATGCTCTTTAACCAGCTGGTAGCTTACAGCCCGACACCTCCATCTCCCCACCGCTTGGGCATACGCCACGCACAAGCCAAATACGTATACCTATCCGCATACTGACGGCCTCGTGAGACCAGACACCCAGTCGCAACACGACCGACCCGACAATCACCAGCGACGCGAAACCTGACATCATCAGCTACAACGTGACCGCGCAGTATGTCAAGGTTGCTACGCTTGGAACTATATGGGCGCCTTCCCATCTGGGACCTCGCAGGCGGCGCACCCTTCCGCGACTTTGTTCGCGAAGCGCACGCATGGCTTAACGTCGTGAACGGAAGTGTGACTCCACCGCGGCATGCCGCGGCGTTACAGCGCGGCCTAGGGGGCCTGGCTAGGACACTCGCCATGAGGGCGCCGTCCACCATAATCAACCATGGCCTCATTCTACAGGGTAGACGCACCGACGGAATTACGTGCATCATGTACCTACGAAGCGCGCCAAATTTGAACCCCTGGAGGACGAGCGACAGCTCACCTCGGGGATAGCACTCACCGAATTCAGGGTCGATGCGGGGCGAACGCATCGACTTAGCGCTGGCCCGATTCGAGGTGGCCGGGCTGGGGGCAGATTCAGCGTGCTTATACATGCCCAATTCCCAGATCCTTACTCTGAGTATATTCTGTTCTTCGGAAGTCGGCATTCTCCAACCAGCATTGCTGCCGCAACCGCTGAACCACCATGTTCCCCGTGCCCAGCAAGAATGCGGCCAACTCCTGGAGCGAATGCGCAGCCATGGGCACTTGGCTGAGCGTTCTCGAGGAAACATCGGGGGCATCTTCATCGGGCGCAACGCGGGCGCCTGTCACGCCGGAGTAAGCGTCGCACTGGTAGCCATGTCGAATATCATCTGGAATGACGGAGAGCCGACTTTTCTGGCCCAAACATGGTCTGGCCAGCGGCTGCCAGCTACGCGCCATCTGAAGCGGCCACCCTCTGGGGGTCTTCTCCCAGCCGCGGCTTCCGGTGCGGTCTACTCTGCGGGTGCTGGCAATCTCGGTTGGTCAGATCTACCTGATGCGATGATGCAGCAACGCAGTGCCTATGCTTAGGTCATCATCGCGCCAAAAGAAGGTAAAAGGCGGCATGTGATGAAACCCGCCTGGAGATTTGGGCGATCTGCACGTCGTGTCTTCTTCCGGAAAAGGTGGGGGTCGCGGCAAAAATGGCGGGCGCAACCGCAGATTGCACGGCGCATTGCCGACTCACCTGACAGACCACGACTTTGAGGACTTGTTTCTAGGAGGCAGAGGCAGAGGCGAGGGTCGCAGGCATATCTCAGGTAAAGACAGGGGGCGCATGCTCAATCCAACGGACAAGAGTTGAAAACGAATGACACGCAATTTCTGCGGAATCGGCCGAAACTTCCAAGCGCAGTGTCCCAATGGGGGCAAGAGGGCGGATGGGTCCGTACTTCTCGGCTCAGGGAAATCCGATGCGGATGTCATCGAGTACGTTGATTCCATCGAACTCGATCGCCCGCCTCGCCCAATCAAGTCCCGCTTGGTTTTTGATGGCTCACTTCTCCGACGCTGCCATGTCAGTCGAGTGCTGCGCCGAGTGCTTGCGCGACGGGGTCGCGGAGCTGTTCGACCCGCCCATTGAGGACTTGCCCGGCGCGCCCTGGCGCGGGCGCGCGCGGTGCGATTCGGGCGAGACCGCGCTTGCCACCGACGTCTACATAATGGAACAGGTCGGGCACGATCAGGCGAGACTCCACCGCTCTCCCAATCCGGATGTTTTTTGGTTTCGCGGAGGAGGGGCCGGCTGCTGCGGGGCGGGGGCAGGCCCGCGCTATCGCGTTTCTGATGTGGAGCAAGGCCAGAGAAATCCCCCGCCGGTTCGGGTGGCCCATGAAAAGGCGACGCAGGAAGCAGTCGCCGCGGCCGCAACGCCGCGGCGCTTCCCACTGCGGGCGCGCTAGGGAAGCCCGGCAAACAAAGCCCGGGCCTGGGCGGTCCAGGTCGAGGTCGTAGTCGCCCACGCGCGGCGGGCCCTTCCAAGGGCAGGGGCCGTGCTCAGTCTGCAGGGCCCGCGCGCGGGGCGAGCTCTAGCGAGACGGGCCGGGGGCAAGGTACTCATCCTCTGGAAAGGGGTGCGGGCGGGTGGATGGAGATAACTGGCAGGCGCTCGGCCTCGAACAGGGCTACTCAGAAGTCGCCGCGCGTGGTCTTTGAGACACGCGACTCGCGATGATAGGAACCGCGCCATCAAGGCGTCGGATCGCCGCGGGTCGAGGCGCGCGTGCAAGCGAGATGTCATCCAAGCTCGCAGGTCCCACCTCCTGCGTCCGCGCCCGCCTCGCAGTCGCCGCCGCCGCAATTGCCCCGCGGGCCGCCCATCTCACAGTCAATCATGGCGGTCGCCTTGCGGCGCCCCGGACGCGGTGACGGCGTGGCCGGAAGGGCGGCCGCATCCATCGACCGATGCGTAAGCCCAGGGCGCTGAAACTGACTCGGAAGCGGGCGATGATTTTATTGTCAAGATCTACAACTAGGATTGGCGCTGGCAGCGGCGGAATATAGATCTGGTTGAGGTGCGTGACAGTAGAGGTCGCAGTAAACTCCGCCAGCGCGAACTGAACACGACGGGGCAGATTGTTGGAATGTCCTTGGCCGAACCCCCCGCGTCTCCGCCGCCGTCCGCCGGGGCTGCGGGCGACCGCATTGAAGAAGAGGAAGAATGCCAGGGGGAGCGGCCACTTGCATCTACCTCGCCTGCCGGGCCACCGGGCGGGCGCGCCCAGGGCGAGGGCGAGGGCGGCCCCGGCGAGAAGGTGGGCGGGCGCGCCCAGGGGGCGCAGATATCGTCAATTCAAAGGCGGCCCCTGCAAAGGAAACGCGCCCAGGACAAGAGGCGGTGCTAGGGGGGGGGCCCGGCAGCGACGTGGGGAAGGATTGCGGCCCATCGCGGAGGCGCTCAAGTTAAATCAGAAAGAAGGCCGCCCGCTTTGGAGGCAGCTCCACATCTCTGCCCGAGCAACTGGCTGCCGCGAGGTCTGCGGAGTCTCAGGATGGCCCAGTCTATCGCGGCGACTGGGCACCCTCGCCCCCCTGCAGCGCGGACTGGGAGATCAAGCTCGGCAACGGGCAGAGACGAGTCAGCGCCTGGTGCGCCTTTCGACCCCGCAGCGATGAAGAACTTAAATGAGATAGGAGATCT